AGAGGTAAAGAAATATAAGCCAGTCTATGGCAGAGTTGTATGTATATTCTTTCATTACTTTTTTTGGACCAGAAATAGATTTAAAAACAAAAAACAAAAAACACCCTGGAGAGTAAGTGGGGACATGGGGATCATGCCCTTCACTATGTGTGACTCATCTACCTGCCCCATGGAAGGCAAGCCTCCAGCGACACCTGGGCCAATATTTAAGGTAGTGGCCTCTCTCTGACACCTAGAGGAGTCTTCGGTTCAGAACTTTTGAGGATGACAAGCCTGCACTGGAGTAATGACGCTCTAACCGCCAAGTGCTAGCATGTAAATGACAGCCACCCATGGTCCAGAGAGCGGTTTTTTTTCCATGGTGTCCAGAGCGGCTCTGGCAGCCGTGCCCAGCACTTCCTCTCTGAGGGCAGTCAGCTCCCGGCCAGAGAGCCTAGTGGACAGCTCCTGCACCTTCCTTCTTGCTTGGCCTGAGTCTCACTGTTCATGTCTGCCCTTTCCTTAGCCCTTGTCATGAACCAGCTCCGGGATGCCTGGAAATTGCCTCCATTAATTGGTTTCCATGGATACTTGGTAGTGTGGCCATTTAATTTATCATCTAGAGTGGAATTCTTTTGAGACTGACTTGAAGGGGAATTCTATTCCTAAAAAGGCTAGGACAGCAGGTATGCACCAGGTATGTCCTGGGAAATGAAGCATGTCTGGTCGCCTTAATTGGTAAACCCTTCAGAGCACTTTATGGAATGCAGACTGACAGTCCTCCTTGTTAATCCGGGAGCAACCGTAGGGCTGCAGCTAACAGTGTGCCTCATCTCTGGTTTTTATCGTTCCTACTGCATGCCTTCTCCACCTGGACCAGCATTCTGAGGGCCTCTGATAAGGGAAGGAAACTTAAAAATTCCTTTTCATGGGGTGAAGTCTAGAGTACATGAGTGGTAAACACAACCATTTCTAGCAGATGAGCACACATCTGTTTTTAGTCCGCTGTTTCCCAGAGAAGGAAATAAACCAGAGAAGGGAGTAAACAAGGCTGGGAGCTAGGGCAGCAGACTGGTGTGAGGAGATGGTGGTCTTGGAGTTGGGCAGACTGATTCCATAGTTACCTGGTTCTTTTGGGGGGAATACATCTCAGTGTGGGTTACTTTAAAACAACCCTCCTATTTGATTCAAAGATCCTCTCTTTTCTGGGTTCCCGCTCCTCCAGTGGGCTGGGGTAGAGCAGAGGAAGCGGGAAAGGGCAAACATCTGTGTCATTTCTCAGTGGTTACTACGTCTCAGATAACACCAGCTCTTCCATCCTCCTTAGCTCTCACCTCTGGTGATATAACCCTCTGCCTCCTGCTGTTGGGCACCCTTGTCTGGTACAGTCCTCTCTGGTGGTGAAACAGTAAAATACCTCAAGCCTAGCCACTCTCTTCCATGCTGGCCTTACCCACTGGGAGCTCACAGGCTTGCTACACGTGACTGAGTTGCCCATTGAGGATTTGGGGGGAAATGCCCCAGACTGAGGGATCTGGAGTACAAGAGCCCTGGCAAGATCAAACTTTGTCTGTTCAAAAGGTGAAATAGGCAAAGGGGTTAAAAAGTTATAAATATATAAAATAAGTCCCTGGGATGGAATGCAGAGTATGGTGATGATAGTTAATAATACTGTATTGTATATTTAGAAGTTGCTAAAAATCTTAAAAGTTCTCATCACAAGAAAAAAAAAGTTGTAACTGAAGGGTGACAGGTGTTAACAAGACATGTGGTGATCATTTTGCAATATATACAAATATCCAATCATTATGTTATGCACCTGAAACTAATATGTCAATTGTATCTCAATTTTTAAAAAGAGAAAAAGAGTGACACTTAAGTTTGGGGCCTGAGCATGCAGGTAGCGTTCAGGTGCCAATTGCTGAGATGGGAAAGAGGACTGGGGAGAATGAAAAATCAAGAAGCCCTGGCCAGATAGCTCAGTTGGCTAGAGCATCATCCAGGTACTTCAAGGTTCAATCCCTGGTCAAGGCACATACAAGAATTAACTAATGGCCTGGCTGGTGTGGCTCAGCAGTTGAGCATCAACCTATGAACCAGAAAGTCACAATTCGATTTCTGGTCAGTGCACATTCCCGGACTGTGGGCTTGGTGCCCAGTACAAGAGGTGCAGGGGGCAGCTGATCAATATACTCTGTCATCATTGATGTTTCTATCTCTCTCTCCCTCTCCTTTACTCTCTGAAATCAATTAAAATATATATATATTTTTAATTGAATATATATGTATGTATTAAAAAGAATCAACCAATGCATGCATAAATAAGTGGAA